TCTGGACTATAAGGGGGATCAGGGAGAGTCCCTAACACCTTCAATTCTTCTTTTGTACACTTAGCAATATGAGGTCTAGCGTTGTCATGAAAATGCAGAACTTTTTCCTTTCCAAAAAAATTCTACGGACTTTCTTGCTAACTTTCTTGTCAATATCTGGCTTGATCTTGTTTTACAATCAATTTTATGAATATCAAAACCAAGCAAAACCGACTCAAGAATAGTTTCCTTGAACTCCTTACAACCAGAGTACGAGAAATGAAGTCCTGCGGTTTGTTCCTTTTGAAAATCAGCAAAATGCGAGTAGTCGTTGTAGATTTTGTTCTCTGATCGAAATGCGTATCTAAACCTATTTTTGAATTTTCTTAAAACTTTTCTTACCGTCTTTCAATGATTTCCCAGAAAACGATTCCCATGCTGTAGATGTCTGTGGAGTAAGTGACCTAGTTTAAATAGCAAACAATTTTAATACAATGTAGAATGTTCGGAGTTTAACTTGAATAGCCTAGGTGACAGGAAAAAGTCAGATTTCTTATTTGTTTTATGATGAAATCTTTAAACACAAAAATTAGTGATGCAAAACGATATTAAGCGAAGAAATTTGCTATCTCCACCGCAAAGAAAATCCAAAAACGCAAAAAAAGGTCAAAATTGCGAGGTTATTTCAATTTCTAAAGTCTCAGAGTCCCGTTAACTTTCTGAGATTTCAGTTCAGCTACGGTTTTTCATATGACAACCTGTGCAAGATGCGAAAAATACCAAGATTTTTTATCTCTACTAACCGCTAAATCTTCGTTCACTTCCCATTGAACTCCCATCGAATATTGAAAATTGCCAATCTTTAGAGAAAAATCTTCAGTGACGAAAATGCTAAACATTTAATTACAATTTAATTATCAACCAATCAAAAACTTGGCTGGTTTTATATCACGATGAACGATTTCCTTTTCTTTGAGATAAATAAGTGCCTGAAAAAGTTGTTCCGCCCAATAAATCGCTGTATTGATCGTATAAATAATCCGAGAATCGAATATTACTAAATGAAGTGCTTAACTGGTTTTAAAGTTATAGTTTTACTGTTCTCTAGTGTTCCTCTTTGGCAAAACTCCATTTGAAGACCAGTGCCATACTGAGGATCGAACACCACTCCATAATATTTGAGGATGTTTGGATGAATGAGCGTTTGAACAATTTCATATTCGTGAATCGCTTCGTTTCCAAACTTGATAACCTTTAGCCTGAAAAACTTGGATGATTAAATATACAAATCAAAGAGCTTTGAGTCCACTAAAGCGGAATGAATTTATGCATTGCAAACTTAACTCAAAGGGAAGATCACGAAATCAAGGTGACCAATCGAAATGAGACCTAAACTATTCGATACAGAATTTTACGCTGATTCCAAATCTGTTGTCTTTTCTTTGCTAAATAGATCAGAATTGCAAGGAATTTGGCAAACAAGCTTTTTGCCTCTCTTATAACACTTGCGCGCGCGCGACAAAGAACTACGCTGGTTGCGTAGTGTAGCGGATAACGTGTCGAGATGAAAAGCTGGAGGTCGAGATTTCGACTTCCCTCAAGTTTTATAGTGTTTCCTAATCTTCCTTCTTTTCGTAATTGCTAAATATAAAACGGCGGTACAAAAGAAGGAAAACTTAAAGGGAGTCGAATCCTCGACCTCCAGCTTTTCGTCTCGACATGTTATCCGCTAACTATGCAACCATTTCTTTGTCGCAAGCGTTATAAAGGAGGCAAAACACTTGTTTGCCAAATTCCTTGCGATTACGACCTATTTAGCAAAAAAAGGACAACAGATTCGGAATCAGCGTAAAATTCTGCATCGAATGATCTAGGTCTCATTTCGATTGGCCACCTCGATTGGCCACCTGTGACCTTCCCTTGTAAGTTAGACCTAGCTCGATTTTTCCGGGACTGGGTTGACCAATTTAGCTCTACTTATTAGTTTCATTAAACAACCTAGAACTCTTTACTATTAAAATAAGCAAGAGCAAATAAAAATATTAACTATGCATAAAGATATGAGCTATTAAAGAAGCACTATGCATTTAAAATGCCTGGAAAAGAGTCAGTTTTTCTAACCCTTCCAAACGCTCTTGGTTGACGAAAAAAGTAAATTTTTATCTATTCCAACCCTAATACCAAAATTTGAGGTGACTGAGCGAAAAAGCTTGAAACTTAACCTAAAATTGGAGAATTCTCAAAGTCTATAAAAACTGAATCAGTTAAGCCAGTGAAACTATATAAAAATAAGGCAGAAAGGAACTGACGGCGTCTGACTGGCAAGCAGCTTCGTTTTCGAATGCTGGCTTCCAAGTAGGATCACTTTTTCTCGACTCAAATCGATCTGTTGAATCACAAAATCGGTCAATAAGTCGTCCATGTATCAAACAATTGCATTTGACGTCAATTGAGAGAACTTAATGTAAAAATAAATCTTTATAAATCAGAATATCATGCTAGAATAAGAAATATATTTTATAAAATGGCAAAAAGTTTTTGCTTTTGGGGAAATCAATTTAAGTTTCTTATCTATCAAGTGCATTTCAGCAACCCAAAAACGATGAAAAAGAAAAACAAACGCGTGATTGCAAAAGTTTAAGCTAAATTTCACTTTTCGAGGTTCAGAAACAAATTTTCGATTATATCTTGATAAATTTCGAATACAGAATTTTTATTATCGTAAAAATTTGAATGGATTCATTCAAAAACTTGGTTTACTTTTGATATGTTTCTTTGTAGGCAAAAAGAAAAAGTTGTTGATACATAAATTGATTGAAATTTAAGATCAATTTACAAAATGCATAACAATTCGATGAAATAAGAATAATCACTTTAAATCTAACAAATCTAAGTCCATGTTCAGGATGCTTTTCGCAGGAAAACGTCTGCTTGTTTTGAGCAAATAGGATTCTCGTGGAGATAAATAGGATAAATAAATGGGTACAGAGTAGAGTGATTAAGCAGAAGGATTATCGTAGGTTTTCTAAAGCTTTCTTTTTAAAAACTTAACAGGGGTAGGCTAATTTCCGCAATTTTTTTGCGCAACAGGGTCATTTGCGCCACCCGGGTCGTTTGCGCAACTCGCCATAACTTTTCGCAGGAAAAAGTTTGCTTGTTTTGATCAAAAAGGATCCTCTTGGAGATAAATAGGATAAATCAATGATTGGTACCATAGAATGACTGAGCGGAAGGATTATCTTAGCTTTTCTAAAGCTTCCTTTTTAAACACTAAACACAATTTGATGCATAACAACGTAAGATCAACAAGAACAGCATGCTGCAAATTTAGAATGAGATTTGCTCTGCTGAGTTGCTGAGTTGATATTTGACTTAATTTATATATTAGGTTGATGCATAAGTCTTTTCGTTTTTTTTCGTACTTCTGTTAAAAAGTAACAAATTCACCAATTAATCTATAGTTTGCTCTATAAAAAAGTGTTTTTTTTTGTTCAATTTGCATCTTTTTAAATCAATTTCGGTTCACTTTCAAGCAAATTCGAGAGTGAAAAACGCCTTTTTCGTAAAAATCTATAAAAAACTCTACGGAAAAATTGGTTGAATGAATTTCTCTGAAATTTTGGCGAAATATCAAACTTTTTTTTCTCTATCTTTTATCTATTGACACGAAGATAGGTTTTCTTTAGCTAAGGTGTCTAAACCGCATCATCGAGTTAGCCCTTTTGACTACCCGACTTCATACTCTCAAGAAAATCCAGGCATTAAATATTTTTAAACCCGTTTTAATGTTATTTTGCAGAAAAATAATTGGTTTTTCTAATGAAATCAACCGTAGTTTAATTGGTGCATTTGTTGGCTTGAAACGGCAGACGAAAAGGAACGAAAAGACTTATGCATCAACCTAATAACTTTTTAACAGTATATTACTGTAACGAGAACCAACTCTAGAGAAAGATCGATTGCTTATCAGTGAGTTCAAGGTAAGAGAACCAATTACGATGCGTCGGCCCAATTTCAGATGTGGCTAAAATTTAGCTTAATTTTAGCCACATCTGAAATGTTTGAAAGCTTTTAAACAAAAAGCGATTTCAGCAATGGAACAAACGTTTCGCTCGTTCAGAAATCGCTACGTGTATTGGGAGATAAAAAAAATGATAGGTTATGTTGAATTTCTCTATTTTGGTGTAGTTTCTAGTGTTAAGGGTACTTTCCTCCAGGTCCACCAAAGTGGAAGTTCCCCGCCATCTCTTCATTGAAAGTGATTTTCCTGTGTTGAAAAGTGATCAATTGTGAAAACTTATTGTTATTAACTTAACTTCCATTATTGATGAAAGAGATTTGTTGGCTCAATTCTTTGCAAAAGAAAACAAATATAATGTGTGATTTCAAGAAAAATACGTAAAAATTAGTTTATTGACCCGACAAATGAACGACAAAGATCTTGAAAAAACAGCGTGAGATCGTGGGACTGGTTCTGTTTCACAAAGGTACTAGCTTCTTGATTTCGCTTGAACTGGTTTCACAAGCCTAACACTATTTGGGATCTGATATTTGCCGATTGCTAGACCTGGCAACTGTGAAACTGGACCCAAGTTATGAAGTGGTTTATCCATAAGCAAAGTTCAAAGTCCAAAGAACAGGAGTGTAAAATAGGCGAAGCATCACAGGTAAGAAGACAACACTCATTCTAAAGGCTGACGCTAGAATTTTAGCATTGGCAGAGCAGATTAAACATTGGCAGGCCAGAGTCTTCCCAAAATAAGGCTCCAAAAACTACTTTCGTGTATGATACAGCCCCTGTATCATACACGTTTTCTCAAGACTTCGAGAAAACAGTTTCTGGAAACGTTTCGAGCCTTAATTGACCCGACAGGGCTAAAACATGGCTCAATTTCTTATAAATAGTTAGCCTTAAATCTAGCTTTGAAATCAGCTGTGGCTTTTGGCCTTAAGTGGCCTTTTTGAAAAGCTTAAGGCTCCAAAAACTATGTTCGTTTATGATACAGCCCCTAAGACTTTCAGAAAACAATTTCTGGAAAGGTTTCGAGCCTTATTTGACCCGACAGGGCTAAAACATGACCCGCATCGGAAATCTCAATATCTTGCACTACCCTCGTGGAAGGGAATGGTTTCTTCAGCGTCGTTCGCCCCTTCACTTCTTCGACAATATAATTCGGTGGCACTAATTCTTGCTCGAATCTCTAAAGATGAACTCTTTATCATCTCTACTTCTAACATTAAATTGAGCATAAATTGCTCTAAAGTATGTCAGCCGTTTTCTGTGATTCAAGTCAAACTAAAAGAAAACAAACCTTTTTAACTTCCTCCAATTCAAGCTTGGCCCTCAAGGCGCCCCACCGATCTTGCTGCTTGACATTTGTACAACTAAACTAATTTAATTTTGATTTATGAGCTTTAAATACTTTCTGAATATTTCCTGAATGTCATCGGGGCAATCTGGGGATCGACCTCAATGACACTAGCCCAATCCGGTGTACGGTCCGGGAAAATCCTTCTGAAGGCATATTGAATTCTGAAAGCTGTAGCTAGTACGTACTTCCTCTCAATCAGCTCCCATAACACTAGACCCATCGTGAAAACATCGTACTTTGGAGAAAGCTTAAATTTCTTTGATCATGTCAAGAATGAGTTGTTTCAAAGGTTTTTTACCAGACCAGGCCAGGTCAGAGCCAAAAGCCGAACCTGACTCCGCGATCGTTTACGGCATTGAATCTCTTGAAACAGCTTTCAGAATTTTACAACAAATTGTTTTACTAATCCTGGCCCGGCCTGGTCAACTCTTGCCTTTGAATCAAATCAAGACCTGTTCGACTCCTTTATAACGCTCTGGAGCCTGATAATGCGAAGTCCCAGTTGTAGGTGGGCTGTATCTGCTCAAAGGGACTCCTTGTCTCGATGCAACTTTCATTGCTCCGAAGTCGGCGATTTTCAAGAGATATTCATTAGTTACCAAAATGCTGAAACGTGTCCAAATGATTCAAGTAGAAGCATTTCAAACACATCTTGCTAATCAATCTTTTCGTTCAACTCACTTATCCGGTTTCAGATCCATGTGGATGACGCCTTGTCTCTTGAAATAATCGAGCGCATCGAACAGATCAACGACCCAGCATATGAATGTATAGGCCGGGTAGAAAATCTCGGCATCGTGGATAACTAAAGAATGTTTTTTTGTGATTGATGTGCTTTGTTTGGTTTTTTTGAACGTGGCTTTAAAAAATTCTTAAGCTAGCTCCATCTTTTAAACTCTTGATTAGCAGAATAATTTCTTTTCTTTCGATTAACATTCACATTATTGTGAAAACATTGTTTTCACGATAGACTCTTCAATTCCCCACTTTTCTTTAGCGATCCTTTTTCACAAAACTCCATAAGGATCCCGCGTCTTGTAGTATCGCGTTCGTCAACGCATCCACTGATATATTTAATGAGATTCGCATCCTGATACAAGCGCATATACTTCTCTTCTTTGATGAAAGCGGCTCGATTCTCTTCAGTCATTTGTTCAACACGTAGCAATTTTAACACACCAACGCTGAAGTTTTGATAGAGATTCGAATCAATAAGATCACTAACAATTCACGAAGAAAAACTCCTATTTGTTGCTGTTTACAGCTTGAGCTTGAATCAATCTGTTTTTTGATTTCTTTTAAACTAATGGCTTAAAATGCTTAAAGTAAAATGATTGTGCAATACAAAATAAAAGGGTTAGAGTAATATAAATCAAGTGTGCCACCCATGACATGGGTAATAACTCAATGCGACTTTAAAAAGTTTAATCTAGTTTGATTTGTTCGCTTCATCACCACAGCATACCTCAATTTGCCAAAAGGCATTCGATACTCAACTTTCCAGCATTGCCCAAATCCACCAAAACCTATATTTTCTTTTATCTCCCAATGCACGTAGCGTTTTCTGGACGGGCGAAACGTTTGTTCCATTGCTGAAATCGATTTTAAAAGCTTTCAAACAATTCAGATACTCTCAAAATTAGGCTAAATTCTGGGCCGACTCATCGCAATTGGTTCTCTTACCTTGAACTCACTGATAAGCAATCGATCTTTCTCTAGAGTTGGTTCTCGTTACAGTCATATACTGTTAAAAATTTAGTTAAAAAAATAGTAAAGTTTTTTAAATCAATAAGTTTGTGTCAATAATTAAGCAGTATTTGAGCCAAATCAGCCTTATCGCATCGTGGCTTTTCTTTGGCGCCAAGGTGCTCCTTTCTTCAGATTCACTCGACGAGCGGATTTCGTTGACTGATTCAAAAGCGGAAATGAGCCAGAATGTTATGCAGGTACTTTTGTACTTTCGAGAAGTTAATGTGCCAACTAAGACTGTAAATTAAGCAATTTAACCTTTAAGTTTTATTTTTGGATAGTCGAAGTTGTAGAAGAAACTAACTCGAGTTTCTTAAGTTCATCGACCGCCTAAGGCTGTTTAAATTTGGGTTTTATGTTTTCTAAAACATGTTAACATGTTAAATTACCATAATCTTGTCTCCAGTCTTTATCCTATTTATCTTATGAGGGTAGACTTGCTCTTTTTCAACTAAAAACTTTACAACATCGTCGCATTGCCATTGCTCTAGTCGAATCTTTCAAAATCTTCCTGCGGTGCAAACAGATTAACCCTTGTTTGTTGACTTTTTCAAATTTAACCCAAGGTCAGAGTCCAGAAGTGGTTCATTCCTTTTGCAGATTCCCTTTTCCTTTAGCGCTTCTTTATCAAACTCATTTCCCGTTAGAGCCGAGAGGTTATGGAACTTGCTTCTAAATTCCATACGAAAAAGGCTATAGAATGATTTGGCTCAAATTTGGATTTGGCTCAAACTTTGTAAAAAAGCAAACTAGTGTTATGGGAGCTGATTGAGAGGAAGTACGTACTAACTACAAGTTTCAGAATACAATTTACAGTCAGAAGAATTTTCCCGGACGGTACACCGGATTGGGCCAGTGTCATTGAGGTCGATCTCCCAGATTGCCCCGATAACATTCAGGAAATATTCAGAAAGTATTTAAAGCTCATAAATCAAAATCGAATTAGTTTAGTTGAACAAATGACGAACAGCGAGATCAGTGAGACGCCTTGAGGGCCAAGGATGAATTGGAGAAAGTTAAAAAGGTTTTTTTCTTTTGGTTTGACAGCCGCACAGCTTGTGCGGCGTGATTATATTCAGTGAAGTAGAGTGCTCGCCTGAAGTGATCAGTCGATCAGTCGAACGAAAATCGATAACCGAGAAGACTCGCATGGCGATGCTTAACCGAGATGAGTCTTTGTGGATGTATAACCGACAAGTACCCATTTCTCTATGCTTTGTTGAGTTTCACTTTATCTGAATAAAGTATCATCATTTTTTGTGTTGGACATATTTTGTTGAACTTTGTTTGAATTCAAATCTATTTGAATAATAGAAATTTTTAAGAACAAATCTCATTCTAAATTTGCAGTATGCTGTACTTGTTGATGTTACCTGGGTTAGGCTAATCTCCGCAATTTTTTTGTGCAACGGGGTCTTTTACGCAACTCGCCATAACTTTCTGCTAAGTGGCCCAATCTAAGTGGCCTTTATGATGTTGGTTTCATTTTGTAGTTCTCAATAAGTGCAACAAAATGCAATCAACCTCATAAAGTTTGGTCCACTTAGAAGAAAGTTCTGGCGAGTTGCGCAAACGACCCAGTTGCGCAAATGACCCTGTTGCGCAAAAAAATGGCGGAGATTAGCCTACCCCTGTTAAGTTTTTAAAAAGCTACGATAATCCTTCTGCTCAGTCATTCCACTCTGTACCCATTTATTTATCCTATTTATCGCCAGGAGAATCCTATTTGATCAAAACAAGCAGACTTTTTCCTGCGAAAAGCATCCTGAACGTGGACTAAGATTTGTTAGATTTTAAGTGATTGTTCTTATTTCATCAAATTGTTATGCATTTTGTAAATTGATCTTAAATTTCAATCAATTTATGTATCAATAACTCTTTCTTTTTGCATACAAAGCACCTTATCAAAAGTAAACAAAGTTTTTGAATGAATCCATTCAAATCTTTAATAATAATGAAAATTCTGTATTCAAAATTTATCAAAATATAAGTAAAAATTTGTTTTTGAACTTCGAAAAGTGAAATTTTGCTTAGACTTTTGCAACCACGCGTTTGCTTTTTTCTTTTTCATCGCGAGTTGTTGGGTTGCTGAATTGCAATTGATAGATAAGAAACTTAAAATGATTTACCGAAAGCAAAAATTGCTTTTTTTGTCATTTTATAAAACATATTTCTTATTCTAGCATGATCTTCTGATTTATAAAGCTATTTAGTTCTCAAGTCGATGATATGCAACCATCTACTTTGACGTTTTCAGATGAAGAAGAAAGAAGGCTTGTCCAAAAAGTCCTGTACTTTTTAGATTGAGTATTATCGTGTTCTATTTTTACACATTATCCACTATCAGATTTGTTTTATTTCTAAACATGAGTGTAAACTAAAACTGAACTTTATCTAGCTAACTAAGACCTAGATAGTAAGCCTAACTATGGTTTACGTATTTAGGTCATAGTAAGCCATAGTTAAGCTATTTAGACTGTTCCATCCGTCCGTCCGTTTGTACTGGCTTTTTCTCAGCCTTCTTTAAGCCAAAAAATGAAACCATTTGATTTAGTCACGTTTCATTGTATACTTTAGCCAACCTCACTATTTCAACCGCTCTACACAATCAACCAATCTGGAGAAGGAACTTTCAACAAACAGCTGTTTAATACAATAATGGATCAAGTTGGAAATTGCAAAGTTTGTTGTAATATGACGCTCTGATATGGGCTATTTTTATTCATTTTAGATTGCAATCATTTCCATTGCCGGTCTTCCTCGTGGTGGGAAAACTTTTTGGCTTAACTTTCTTTTGCGGGCACTTCGCAAAGGAGATGCTCATTTTAAACCGGATGAGATTATCGGGTGAGACAGAATTCTGAAGACAGATCTAGGCTTGACAGGATCAGGAACCCTGCAGGGAGTCAAGGTCAGCCTTAGGTCAGGCTTTGGTATGTTTCTGGCCTTGAGTAACCTGAAGAAATTATCTTTAAAACAACCCTGACCCCATCGATGATCTTTTGGCACTTCTCAATATTTTTCTCTTTGTGCCTGTTGCTCCATTGTTCTCGACTCATTGTCCCATTTTCTTTGGAATTCTGCAAGAAGGGCTTAAAATTTCAAACAGAAAAACTCACTTAAATCAATCGCTTCAAATATTCTAAGACCGCTTTACCCAGTGCTGAATTGGCTCTGTTTTAAGGTGGAACTGAGGATTGTACAGCAAATAAGTCTTTAACGACTGTAAACAAAGTAAGACAGTCTTGGCTTAACAGTGCTTGCAATCAAAGTCTTGGCAAGTGCCGATATTTTTTAATATTGCTAATCTAACATTAAAGCATAGATAAGATAAATCTTAAGAGATTGGTAAGCTTGAAGTACTCAAATCAACACCTAAAGACTTTTAGTTAGCAATAGACATGAGAAAATTCCAAGCCGAACCTAATTCCACCATTGTTTTCTCGGTTGTTTCTTGGCTGATTGCTCTGAAATTTTCTCTACAAGCGGAAAATGTCGATTTCTATCTGAAGACAAAGTTTCAAAGCAATCAGCCAAGAAAACAAAGATGGAATTAGGTTCGGATTGGAATTTTCCCGTTTCTAGTCAACAGTATTGTATCGTTGGATCAAATCACAACCAGGGGAAAAAGGATATGTAAATTTGCGTGAACAAAAGTCACAAGAATCAATCAAGTCCTTGTGATTGTTATTCACACACTTTAATTGATGATCTGTGTCGAAAAAGTCACAAACGTTTTGCTATTGTTTCTCGTTTTGAACAAGGAAAGGTGTAAGCATTAGACCTCGGAATTTTCGGTGTGAATGTCAATAGGTGTCCAAGGGAAAAACGAAATATCTTGGCCAATTTCAGCTGAATCTTTTTTTCTTTCATTTCAAGCAATAGAAAACTAAATTGTGCATCAAATGATATCAAAATCAAAGAGATCCGAGTGAATTTAGATATCATTTTTCCGTTGCCGGTCTATTGACGTTCCCAGCGAAAATGACTGAGTCTAGTATGCATTAAATAGTGTTTTAAACAATTTTCCTTCAAACTAATCGTCATTTTTCTTTATTTCAATTTCTAGGGGCCCAAATGGAGCAACGTTTCAATCAGGATTATCTCCTCATACAACTGGCATCCAAGTTTGCACCGAAACTTTCTTCATCAACAAAAACGAAAGCGAAAAGGTTGATTTAGGTATTGGTTTTTCTTGAAGTGTAATCGATTTACAGATTGCAGTACTTTTATTGGACACTGGTGGTCTCTTTGATCTCTTTATCAAATGGGAGCATTACTTACGCTGCTTTTCTATACTCGTGCTGCTTTCATCAACTCTAGTAACGTCAAAAAATCTTCCAAAACATTGTATCAACAGGTTTACAATTGTTTCAAATTTCTCACGAGCAGTGATCTCGAAATATTTCTCGGAATTCGACCGTATATTGGCTATGATGAGAAGTTTTTGATACAAGTTTGTTGCTAAATTTGAGCGATAAGCAAAGCTTTCAGCATTTGATTCTCCTATCTCGTGACACTCCTGGAAGGATTGGATTTGATAAAGATTATGTGGAAATGATTAAAACTTCTCAACTAAAAGATTTCTTTGGGCAGTTTGACAAATTTGACGCTGTGTTTGTGCCACATCCAAGAGCAAAGCTGAGAACGGCAAATTTTCAAATTTTTGCAAGAGGTAAGCTATCAATTGCAGATAAAAAGCTAAATTTGAGCAATAAGCAAGGCTTTCAGCATTTAATCCTCCTATTGAGCTTGGGAAAAAGGTGTAGAGATTTACATTTCAATTTGTTTAATATAATAGCTTTATCTAAAGTATGAATGGCTGTATTTTTAATCCAAATTCTTCATTCTTTTAAACCATTTAAGCCACTTGCCAAAATAGTCAAGCTGATTGTGAGAAAAATTCGTGAAACGAGGCTAACTTTATACAAATATCAGTTGCTGTTGCTAAATTATTGTCGCAAGATTTACGAGTATCAAAAATATTTGGTTTGAAAGGTAAATTCTGTCCGTTTTTTTGTTTTTTTGAAGTTCTTAAACTCAACCAATCTACACGTGCTATGACTCATTTGAAAGCTGAATTCAAGGCGGAAAAAAGCGGAAAAACCGTTTTTAAATTCATATAGTTTTGAAGTTTTTACAGACTTTTGACTGAGCTCAGTCAGACTCAAAAAAGTGCCGAAATTGCGTTTCAATAGTTTTTTGTTTGGCAACATGGCGTAAAAACTCTAATAGACGGCACATCCGCGCGAAAATGAGATCGCCGACAGATTTGCACATGCCTATATGCATTCAATGCAAAAAATTATGCTGATTCCAAGTATAAAAGAATTTTTTAAATCCGTCTTACAGATTTTTTTTAAAATTGGAACTTATTGGAGAAAAATCGGACTCTTGACCCTTCCCCTTTGACCGTTTTTAGAGCTCTGAAAGCGATGATCCGTGGGTCGAGGGTTCGACTCCGGGCGCGACAGGTTTTTAAAAAATTTTGAAGGAAGAACGAGTTTTGTGTTTCCTAGGGTCATTTTCAAAGCTTATTGCGAAAAATTTGTTTTCAGCCTAGGTTTCCGTGCTTAAAAAATGACATAAATTGCAGAAAGTAAAAAACGCCATTTTCGCATTCAAGATGCTACTAGTCTTTTCAAAGTTGACCAATGTTAATGTTTTGGGTTTTAAAAGAAACGCAAGAGTCTTGTTGGCAAGAGCTACTATTTAGAATTAAGTAATTTGCTTGTGGCGGTAGGAATTCGGCATTCAAAGAGAATTCATTTTAGACGTTTCCATGGAAAATGACGATTTTTTTTTCCAATAGATTGCAATTTTAAATCTGCAATCTGTAAGACGGGTTTTAAAAATTCTAATTAAAAAAACTATCAAAACGCAATTTCGGCACTTTTTTGATTCTGACTGAGCTCAGTAAAAAGTCTGCAAAAACTTCAAAACTATATGAATTTAAAAATAGTTTTTCCTCTTTTTTCCGCCTTGAATTCAGCTTTCGTATGAGCACAGATTTTAGATTTGAGTACAGATTCGGAATCAGCGCAAAAAAACTGGTCTAGATGTGCTAGACCACGTTTTAAAAACTGGTCGTAAGTTGACAAATCTCTCTTGTGAGCTCACTAAAACGCCTATAAAAACTCCAAAACTATATGATTTAAAAGCGGTTTTTCCTTTTTATTCCGCCTTTAATTCAGCTTTTGAACAATAACACGTGTAGATTGGTTGAGTTTAAGAACCTCAAAAAACAAAAGAACGGACAGAACTTACCTTCCAACCCAATAACTATCGATTTGACTTTGATGATCTCACTAAAACATTTAGATATTGGGAGCAACTTTCTAAACACATTAGCCGATCTCGCTGAGAACATTTTAACGCAAATTCAGCCAAAAGCTATTGATGACATTTTCTTCACTGGAGTTTCATATAGAAGCTATGTTGAGGTAAGGTGGGGGCAAATTTAAATCTAATTTCTTTCAGCAAGTGATTAAACAAATGGAAAGAAAAGAAAAGGGCAACATTACGAGTCTTTTTGAGGTAACTTTATCACAAAAAAACAAAACAGTTTCCAAGTCCTTCAGGCAACAAACGAACTTGCATTCAACGAGCTGAGAATGGATGCATTGAAGGAATTCGAGCGATTGTGGAATCAGGTTTAGAGGTGAATGATCATAATCACTGTAGTTTTAGCAAAATGAAATCAATGCCTACTCGCCAATTGATCCGGAACTCTTCGAAGAGACTGGGAAAACGATTTTGGAGACTGTGACTCAAGTGAGGCTGTTTCTTCAAGGCTTTGTGCTTAAAAGTATAAACATAGCTTTTCTAAGGTATTTAGTTCCTCATCTTTATTAATTTACGCTGTTTTTCGTTAAGGAATTCAGTGCTTAGTGACCAGTTTTTGAATCGTTCTGAAAATTTGGATATAAGCTTCATTTTTGATTCTCTACAACTTTTCCATTGACACCAAAATGGGTTTCTTTTGAAGAAAGTGCTCAAACTGTGACATATGACAATCGCCGGCAGTTTTCAATTCACCAATCCAATAATTCCTCATCTTTATGATGTTACGCTGTTTTTCATTAAGGAATTTAGTGTGTTTGGTGTTTTTGCAACTTTGAGCATAAAGAACATTCGAAATAGGTTTAATTGATTGACATTGACTAGAAAAGAGTACTAGATCATCGTGGGATTTCGAAACGAGAGCTAGTCCATTCGATAGAAAATCAAATAATCAAATAAGTTTTATTTCCTCCCGACTATAAATGTGATTTCCGTTATGTCAATTTTGTGAATTTTCAAAGACAATTGTCAATGTCAATTTGTCAATGATGTCAATTTTTGGACAGTCGCTACTGGATTGATGCTCATGCTTGCTTGCTTGCTTGAAGAGGAATAGATCAAAAAATACTGAATTTTGCTTTTTGAGAATTAAACTAGATAAAATACGCGAAGATTTTAGTTGTGAGTCCAAATTTTGCTGGATAATTTCAAAGAAAAAGGAAAATAACCGTAAATTCTGCTAGATTTTACTTGAATTCACTTTTTCCGGGGGCGGAAATTCGATTGTTTTTAGGCTATTTTAAAGGTTTCAAAATTTTTGATCAGTGCTTGCTCTGATCAAAATTAGATAAGAAAATAAAAGGAAAAATAGTCGAAGAATTTGTGAAATCAAAAATATCTTTATGAAAAATGAAAAGCAAAAAGTTTGTCAAGTCGGGGATTCGAACTCACTGCAAAACCTCGATCCATTTCGTAGACAAGCACGCTATCCACTACATCACGTTGAAAGCGTTGAAAGCGTTGAAAGCGAGGCGTAAACTCAGCTCAAATCTGTGAAGCAAAAACTTTGATGCCAGAAATCTCGCCTTTGCAAGCTATTCAGCAGATTTTGATTACAGATTCAGATTCCTCGTTCGATTTTCGATTGAATGGGCTAGGTCTCGTTTCGAAATTCCACATTGACCCAGTAGTGAGGCTCTTAACTTTAAATCTACAGTAGTTTACCGTATTTCTACAGTAGTGATCTACATTTCAGACCTTTGCGCTAACCTTAAAGTACGGAGGCGAAGAAAAGAGGCAACGATTTGGGCAATTCATTCAACAACTTCGGGTAAAGCTTTGGTTTTTATAAAAAACTCGAATTCTCTCAGGAGCTGAATGTCGAACGTGCTCAAATGAACTTTCTTCGGTTTCGCGATTTAAGGATTTCGGAAGCATATGACCGCGCTGTGCAACTTTATCAAAGAGGAGTGCAAGTAGAGTTGGACTTACGGATTTCATCCCCAACTTAGTCCGGTCAAAAGCCTACCTGCCTTACCTGCTTGAGTACTTGGGCTACTTGTATCCTGGTTACAAATCCTAGACTTTAAAAGGATAACAAACCAAGTCTAGCTGTAGCCCAAATGCTTTAAAATAATTGTAGCTTCAATTCTAGCGAAAAATCGTCAGCGGAGTTGGCCCACCAACACCAGAAGAATTCCAAAATGTTCACAACATAGCCGTTCACGGAGCTATTGAATTTTTTGAGAAAGGTACACAAATGGAATTTATAAACGATATTACAAATAAATGTGAGCCTTTAGAAGCCAGCTCGTTCCCCAATTGCTCAACCATATTTGAGGAAAAGAAGCGGAAACTAGTTGCGAGCTTAAAGGTGAGAAAAAAATTGACGAAAGCAAAATCCACTTAGAACTCTTTTACGAACACACTTTACGAACAAGTCTCTATCAAAGAAGCTCTCAAAGACGTTTTCTATGATCTATGCGAAACAATGCTACGGAATTACAGAGAAGAACTGGCGCAGGTCAATTTCAGTGCAAACTGAGCTTAAAATCAGTTAGACAGTGCTTTTTGTTCTTTCTAAAAGGTGTGCTTAGAAAAAGATATCATAATCTAACTATTTTTGGGTAAAATACCGTAATCCTAGACAGAAAAGATACGATAATCCTGGATTTTGATCCGTACTCTCACCGAAAGGTTACCGTACTTTCTCTAATAGTAGTACACCCCAGCGAGCCGAGTTGGTGACGATTTTACGGTTTCCAAGCTTTCGCAGAAGCTCAACACTCTACTCCCCCACTAGATCTTATCGTCAGCTACATTTTTCGACCCCACATCGATAGGTTCTGATGAGCGGTTCTCGAGATTTCGAGGAATTTAGGCGAAGCTTTGGGTGCACTACTATTAGAGAAAATGCGGTAAATGGACCAGCGTGAATTGCAAAAATAATATAATTTTATAATTGTAATTTTCTACGGAAAACTTCTTTATACAAATTGTGGGATTTTTTTGAGATTTTTATTAAACGCTTGGAAGATGCACTCAAAAAAACCCTTCACACATAACATTATTCGAGCTCTTTCTAGTTCATTTTCAAACTGAAATCTGTTTTCTAGCTTTTTTTTGATAAATCTAAGCTTTAAGAGTAACATCTGGATAATTCTTTAAGTTAACTTTGAGATTAATCGATGAAGTTTATCAGTTTCAAGAAAAATTCGTCGAAGAAGTCGATCCACAGCTCCATCCAGATCCAGAGTCATCCAGAGTTCATAAAAACACTGCAGGGCTGAAGATTTTTGTTGAAACACATTTCTTTTGAGATTTTTAACTAGAAAAGAGTTAAATAAACTATGTGAGAGCTCTTAAAACCTGTTCATGAAAAGCTGTAGATTGAGTTGTGTGCCAAGGGTTTTTTAGCGCATTTCCTTTAACAAAAAATCTCAAAAGCATCCTACAATTTGTATCAGAAATTCTCTGTAGAAAATTATTGCAATTTTCGCAAAAGAAACTAAACTAGTTCGCGAAGCCACAGCTAAAATATAGCCGAGGCGATAATTTGCGGTCACTCTGTAAAACTCGTAAAGTAGACTTTACAGCTTCGTCTTCGTCTCATCGACTCCGACGCCTTCCAAATCAAAACTCTTCTGAATCAAGAGAATGAAAAATTTGCCGATTATAAAATGAGAGAAACGTTGCTGACGGTTCAAAATCTGAGTCAGAGATTCTCCATCATTCCAGTGGTGGACTTGAAGAAGTTTGCAGAGAATGTCTTGCAGACAGTATTGGATCCAATGATTAAGGTAATCTTTTGAAATATTTTGATTTTTAAGTCAATTCTTTTAGGCTTGTTCAGAGGATTTTCTGAAATCCATTCATTTTGATCAAGAAATCATATCGATACAGACCTCCGGGTTTCAACAAGCCGACATTCGGGCAAAGTTGACACAGCTGTTAGGTGAGTTTTGCGTTTTAACAACTGTTTATAGAGTGTTTTCCTCTTAAGGAAAACCTTCTTAAAAGTACTATCAGTAAAAAAAAGCACCGTAGCTGTCGCATATTATTTAAAAATAAAAATGGCAAATAAAATCTTGAGAAGCGTTTTATATACGGCTCGCACAAAAGCTATTCAGTCATTGGGCTGAATATCTTATTTGAGAAAGTTTTGTGGAAAAGGAAAATGGAATAGCTTGCAATTTCGAATCGAAATTTTAGAGGGGAAAACGCTCACTAACGTTCGCGTTTTCCACTGCAGAGGTCCACGTTTTCCCACGCAATCTAAGCCCCACCCCTTTTTACCAATGGCTGTGCACAGACGGACAGACAGACAGACGGACACACGGACAGACGGATAGACGTCTCTGTTGCTTTATATATATAGTAGATTATTTGTTTGAGAAAAACACACTAACTGTTTACCTCAATGCTCAAACTGTGCCGCTGCCTATTTACCGTAATCAACATGATAGTTCTGATTCTTTTAGTTCCTTAAAATCTGGGTAAAGATACTGTACCGCCCTCGGCATTTGTTTCAATCATTTTCCGATTCAACAATCACAGACAATAAGATGAAAGCTGATTTAGTGAATCATACCGACACAAAAATACGGACAATACAATGCTAAAATGTTTCACCTCTTAGTTTTGATCATTTCATATCCCAGTTTTTACAGCTGAGGTCCAAAACTCAAGAGAAACCACTCGTGAAACGTTCAAACTATCCTTGGAAAGAACGAAAGAAATGGCGCTTTTGAAAGACAAGCTTCGGACGACATTTGAAAAACAATTTCTCGCAAGAGAGGCTCGAGAGCATGATATACGCCAAAAGCACGTTTTTTTCTTTTTTTATAAAATTACTCAAATCTTTTCTAGGGGTTACCGCAAATTCGTTGAGTCTTTGAGTATTGGCATTCATTTGAGAAATATGCAAGCCCGAGTCGCCGTTTTTGTGGGAGATGAGGCAATTTGTATTCCGGCTGGGAATGGTAGTTTTTAGAGCTGAAGAGAGAATCAAAGAAAATTTAGGTCAAAACGTTTTCTCCGTGCCCACAGAGCAAAGCGTCTTTTTGGATTCGTTTCTTGGGTCTTCAGAAGACAGCTCAAGTATGATTTTTACACAAGGCTAGTTACGTTAGAAATTGAGCCCGAGTTTCAATTGGTATTAGGTTGTAAACTACGGCTTGAGCCCAAATTTGGAACAATATTTATTGACAAACAAAAGAGCAGTTTAATGGAAATAGTCTCCATTATTTGCGATGACTTTTTTCCATTTTACTGGCAATTGGCGAATTCCCCTGCTAGAAAATTTTTGATTTCAAGTCAAAATAGTCTTGGAGTCACTGAGTCTTGGAGTCTTTGAGGTCTTCCCTATTTTGAAAGTGCTCTTCATCCAGGGCATGTTGCATCAATTGGAAAAGATGGTAAACTGTAGAACTGAGATCAGGAGAAAATGGTGGATAGGGTAAGAACTCCCAGTTCAACTCGTGGATTGTTGAGTGGGTCAACTTTACCATATTTGAACTGGCGTTCTCGTGTTTAAGAATGATCTTTTTCAAATCCAAGCGCTTTTCCTTAAGTTTCTCATCAAGTTTTTTGAGTTGGTCGCCTTC